TTAGTTTTTGGCTATTAGGCCTTGAATTAAGGGCCTCAAACTTGTTTGTTCAGCTTTCTTGCTCACGGGTGGTTCTCTACCACTTAACCCATACCTCCAGCCTAGCTTTTTCCTGGTTAAATGGAGACAGTCCATTTGATTTTTTCTTCCCAGACTGGCTTCAGATTTCAATCCTCCAGATCTCAATCTCCTCAGTAGCTAGGATTACAGTTAGGAGCCACTGGTTTCATTTATTTGCAATTAGCTAAAATCTAATCCCAACTGGTAAATGTATCTTTTTCAGACTATATGCCCTCTAAGAAAAAGGACTTTTTAAGCTGGGCACTGATGGCTCACATCTATAATTCTAGCTACTTGGGAGGCTGATATTGGAAGGATAGCAGTTCAAGGCTATCTAGAACCTATGGTTTTAGAACAACTGCAAGGCCAATTGTTTTTTCATCTGAAAACAAATCACAGGCAGATTTAAAGGGAAATAATAAAAAGTAAATGCCCTTAATCATTACTTACATGGCTACAAAATCACGTGTACAAAAAAATTGTATCACTACAACCTAACTGAATCTAAGCCCACAAAAAACCACCTTTTTCCTGAGAAAGCTTTTCCTCCTGGCGCTGATGGTGAGGTTTATAAGGTGCTGCCCCCTGACTGAGTCCTTCAGCTACAAAGCCATCCAGAAACGATAAGGATGCATCTACCTGTATTAAAACATAAGCAAAAATTACTATACATCCATATATCCTTAAAAATCTTAAGTAAAAAAACAGAAGCTTTAATTCTAACAATACTACCCAACTCTAGCTTTCTGAAACATCAGCTCACCAACCTAAGAACCAAGCAATGTTTTGTGTTAGTATTAATTTTACTCCAATGCAGGGAAAGCAGATGCTTTTGAGCATCTGTTAGGGCATCTATCAGGTGCTATGAATGAGAGAAAGACAAACTCAATTTCCATCCTCAGGAACCCTATAAAGAACAAAAGAAACAGACATGCATACTACAAGTCAGATTGACTGTGTTAGTTTTCTGTTGCTAGGAGGCCAAAATGTGTTGGTAGGGCTGTTGCCTTCTGAGTGTTGGAGGGGAGAATCAATTCCTGTCTCTTTCAGATTCTAGAGATGCTGGTATTCTTGGGCTTATGGCCACAACATTCTACTCTTTCTTTTTGCTGTTTCTTTGCCTTTTCTCTGATCCTTGAGATTATTTTGAATCATGACCACCTAGCTAACTTCCTTTCATAACATTATACCTACATTTTAACACTTAATCTAACACAATTTAGCGCACACAAATTTTAAAAACATGGAACTCAGATGTCTTACCACCAAGTCTTCACAACTCCTATCACGTGGAAGCAAGCTCTTCATAAGCTCTACATTCTTATGCAAATATTTTAATTCAAATGCATGCTGCCTCATACAAGTATCCAAAGATGTGGTAAATTCTTGGATTAATTTCTCAACTATATCAGCAGAGTGTGCTTGGGGTGTCAACTTGGTTACAGCAGCAATTAACCAGGCTTTTGTTTCTGAAGAAATGGACTCTTTCATAAGTAACTTGTAGAGCCTGGTTATAATCTCCTCTGGTGTTTCTTTATCTAAGAGGTAGGAATATTCGCCTAAAACCTGTGAGAAAAAAGGAGATGTTATATCAAGTTACACTGTATTCTATTCTATACTCAGAAACCTAAAGTGCCTACTGATACAGTATATTTAGATTAAATATACTCCCTTAGTGAATAAATAAAGAAACAAAGTATAAGTTTTAAGTTTAAGAGTACATGAAAAATTACAAACTCCATACAAAAGAAATGGAATTCAATACAGAAATATTTTCTACATCTTTATCATTAATAATATTAAGCAAAATACCTTTATAAGTTATTTTCTTCTGCACATCCAAATTAGTTTTACAAGTACTTTCACACTGTTACTAAATGGAAAACAAATGGAACTCTCATGTTAGCATACTTAAGATTTCATGAAAGATGGCCTTTTATTCTCTAGCTTCATGTAAAAACACAACACACTGTAAACACAAATGGATATTTAGGCAAACACCATATTCAAAGACAAGACAAATGAGGTGTCAGAAAGAATAGAGAAGTAAACAAATAAGAGAAAGAATGTAATAATGGACAAAGAAAATGGACAGCTGAAGGACTTAACAAAGTACAACTGAATGATGTCATGGAGGAAATATATAGTCATATTTGGTTTTTATTTTTAAAAAGTTACAAAAATTTATGATGTAAGATAGTTTGCTCACCCAACTCATAACTTGAAGAAATCTCTGTGGGTATAATACATTTTCCATATCGAGTAAAGTGAGGTAAGACTGAACTGCATAGAGTCTTAATTGATGATTTTCTGTTTCATCATCAAAGCCTACAAAGAAATTGAAACACCATTTTATTATCCCCAAATTTTCATATGGCTCTGTACTATTATTTTTTAAATTTTATAATCATTACTAACCTTCTGCTAGCAGCCTCAGAAAGTTATTAGGAATATCAGGGTGCATTACGTCTCCACCCACTGAAAACACAGCATTCATTGTCTGAATAAACCAAGAATTATCGGGAGCATATGTGTCCACAGTGTTAAGAATAAGTATACTTCCAAATTAATTAAAATTATCCTTTTTGCAGCAATCCTTACAAAATAATCCCAATTCAGCCTACAGTGGCACTTTTATCTTTAACCTCTGCCACCTCTACTTTAGTTCTATACTTAACTTTTCATAAAATGAGTACTCAATAATATTGAGTGGGGAGTAGCTCGGTTCAAAGTACACTATACATATTTACAGAATTATCAAAGTCAAGCCTCCTTATACTACTCACATACGCTAGTAAGTTTAGTAAACTTAATATTATATACCATGGTAATAAATATTCAATAAAAAAATACAAATTAATTCAAATAAATGAACCACCTAAGGTCAAATAAATAATGGGAAATTAGATCCATGTCAGATAGGCTAAGTGTTGTAGTGTGAATATTTGAACAAGTGATTTAACCTCTTTTCTATTATATTTCTCATCAGTTCTAAAGTTTCAGTATTGTGCTCTATAACAAGGTCTAGATCATAATTAAATATAAGCAATTCAAAGAATTAGATTAATGTTATTCATTATTTCTTGGGATTAAACAACACATGTCCTTCAAAAAAAACAGTAATAGCCGGGCACTGGTGGCTTACACCTGTAATCTTAGCTACCCAGGAGGCTGAGATATGAGGTTCACGGTTCAAAGCCAGCATGGGCAGGAAAGTCCATGAGACTCTTTTCTCCAATAAACCACTCAGAAAACGGGAAGTGGCACTGTAG